CAGAGCAGGGACTGAAAACAAGCAAGGACTTCAGAGACTGCTAGATACTGGGCCTAGCTCTGCCCATTTCAGGGGACAAAACACTACCACCAATTCCAACTGAAGGGACAAATGAAGCCTTGCCCCAGCCTCCTTCACAAGCCATTGCACTGTCGAGTGACAGCCAGACAATTTTCAGCCATTACTAATCACAAAACTGGGGTGGAGGTACTTGGCAAGTGCCAGAACCACGGGGACCTCCTGACCCCAGCTCCCAATACTGGGACACTAGTCCTCTGAGTGCCCTTCCCTCTGAAGCTTACTCCATGTGGGTAAAGCTCTCTTACCAGGGGCCTCCAGCTGTGTGGTGCTCCTCACCGCAATCCTCCCCAGGCCTCTGTGCCGGGTGGAAGAATGCTTCACTGAGGCTTCGGGCCCACAAGCAGGACTCAGCTCTCTCCCTCTCACATATAGAATATGGGATGAAGACTGGTTTCAAGACACTGTCAGACCTAACTCTACAGGTGGCTCTCTAAGTCCCACATCAGTCACAGCTCGACCCCATGAAAATGATGATGCGCACAGGAAGAGCCATTCCAGTGTGTGCGGGAGAGGGGGCGTAGGACAGGCACACAGGCAGGCACTCTAGCCTGTATCAAGGTGCTCCTCTGCACAGCACCACAAGACACGGACCTATTGCTTCTGCATAGCTTATATTTGTATATCTTTCCTAATGGGTACAGGAAAACAAGGGTCATAAAGCATACCCATATACCAATGGTGGGTTCATATCTCTCACCTCTCACCTGAGAACTGATGGGGAATGTTTCAATTCCAAATGTCTCATGAACATGTATGGTTGCCACAGCTGTACACCTCTGTCTTCACATGCTATGGATGAGAGCTCACATTAGAGCCTACTTTCTGGGATACATGTTACGCGAGGCACAAAGAGCCAGTGTTGAAAATACATCTGTGTACGGGGCTTTCTCCAGGAATCACATTCACAGCCACAAATATGGAAAATGTTACACAGTTCTACTCTGTCTTAGTCAAACCAACAAGCAAGCAAACAAACAAACAAACAAACAAACAAAAACCTCTCTGTTTCCTCAAGATTGCAGAATAGTTAAAGAAATATTCTTTAGGATAGTTGTTCTCACACTTCCTAATGCTGTGACCCTTTAATACAGTGCCTCGTGTTGAGGTGACCCCCAACTATACAATTATTTTGTTACTACCTCATAACTGTAATTTTGCTACTGTTAGGAATCCTAATCTAAATATCTGATATGTGGCCCCCAGAGGAGTCACAACCCCCAGTTGAGAACCGCTGCTTTAAGATCTCACAGAGGATTCATTCTGAGGCTGCAGGCTGATCATGAAGGGAGTCCTTGTGAGCCTTGCTTTGTCATCAAAGGCACGGCTACTGTGCCACACAATGGAGATGGACAACAGTTTATATCCCAAGGTGCTTGTGCGAATCCTCACAATGCTGGCCACATACCCCCGTTCCCTGAAGAACTAGAATAAGCACAAATTTCATCTGAAAGGAGGAAAAAAAATCGCGGTAGAACACACTCAGATTAAATTGATACACGATTTCTGGAAGCATTTCCCTGTGTCTGGCGAGCAGACACAACCAGATCCTGCAAACACATACATGCTGCAACCTGCTTGTCAAATACACACATCGGAACATCCTGAGCTCATCTACTTGAGCTCAACACTTGCGCTCATTTACAGGGCAAGCAAAATTGCGAAATTTTGTTATTTATAAGCTGTCAAATGCCTATTAGCTTTACAAATATTTAAAAACTATTACACACTCACACACGCTTAACCATGGTAATGTCGCGCTCAATGGCCTGCCCTGGAATAAGACAATTCGTATTTGCTCAATACAAATAAACTCTAAAATGTACATTTTCCATTTATTAATAATATATGTGCATTGATTTTTGGATATTTGAGTTCGGAAATTTGGGCTTCATAGTGCTCTTGCCCGTGGAAGCAAATAACTTTCTTGAGTGACTTCAGAGGTTGAAGTCTCCAACAAAAATGTGACTGAAGGAGCTAGTTGAGCCAGAGAGCATTGGGTCCTTGATCCTAAGGATGCTCATAGGAACAAGGTTAGAGATGATATTCCTTTCCACAGCTGGTATTTCCGACCGTGAGATTGTATGTTTCTTTTTTTTTTTTTT